TCTTTATACAATTCACCAAGAATCTGGAAGACTCACAACCAAGAGGCGCCCAGAACCCCACACGGTAACACAACCACCTGGCAGCACACAGGAGTCCAAGGATCCTCTTAGAAATGCAAATCTGATGGTATCTTCTGCTTAAATGGCCCTAAGAAGGCCAAACTTAACAGCAGAAGGGGCAGGAGCACTGCCATCTGACCCATGCTTGGCGCTTCCCTTTCTACCCGGCTGTTCCTCTAGCACACGTCACTCACTCTCCAGTGTTGGGACTCCCAATATCTCCAGGTGGGCTCCTTCCCCTTCTCTGATCTCCATCTCTAATTCTCAGCTGCAAGTCACTTTCTCTATTGCTTTTCCTGACTCTGTAAGTAAAGAGGGCCTGCTCCACAATTCTACCCAGCCCCAGATGCTCTGGTGTATTATTGTTTTTTTTTTTTTTTTTTTTTTTGGTGGTGGTATTGGGGTTTGAACTCAGGGCCTTAAACTTGCTGGACAGAAGCTCTACCATTTATACCACACTCCCTGCCCTTTTTGCTTTAGATGTTATTTGGATATGGGCTCAAACTTTTTGCCCAGTGTTGGCCTTAGACCTGATCCTCCTACCGCTGTTTCCTGGATAGCTGGAATTGCAGGTATGGCCACCACACTTGGCTTGTTGGTTGAGATGGGATCTCTCTAACATTTGCCCTGGCTGGCCTTGAACTCTATCCTCCCCAATCTCTGCCTCTCTAGTAGCTGGATTACAGGTCTGAGCCATGACAACCAACTCAGACACTGTTACAACTGCTTTCTTGTCTGCATCTCTCTTCTAGAAGAATCCCCCTGAACATAGGGATCAAGCCAGTGATTACTCCAAGCACAGCACTTCACACGTACAAGCCCTTCAAAACAGTATTTGTTAGATGATGAGTTTTGTCAGCAGCAAACCGATGTGATGAATTACAGACCAGACTTCCTGATATTAAAGGTTCTCCACATTCCTAGGATCAATCCTATGTCATCGAGGTAGAAGTTCCTCTTTGTGAGTCATTCATTTGAACGCTGCATGCCTTACGAGTTTTACGTCTGTTTTTAAAAGCAAGACAGGTCTGTGCTTTGTTATGAACACGCTACCTTGGTTAGCTTTGGGTGTTTGGGTCACACTGAATACAAAGAAATGAGTTATGTGGATTTCGGAATTATATTGTAGGACCCTTGCTTAATAAGTCTTTGAATTTAGGAAGACTGGCAAAAATAACACTTGGCAAAAATAGATGATCAGACTTTCTACACAGGGGTAATTTTTTTTTTTTTCTTACGGTCGTGGAGTTTGAACTCAGGGATTCATGCTTTCTTTTCCTATTTAATGCTTCCTGCCATCTCTGGAATGATAGGCACATGCCACCAGGCCCAGCTTTTTTCTATTAAGATGGGGGTTTCATGGACTTTTTTGTCTTCAAACTGAAATACTCCCAATCTCATCCTCTCACATAGCTTGGGGTGACAGGCACGTGCCACTAGTGTCTGGCTACATAGGTGTATCTTAAAATAACTTTGACAATGGTAAAGAGCTTGAGTTCCCTCTGTGGTTGTGGGACTCGGGGTGTGTGCTACCTTTTGTAGAGGCAGAGTTGAAATAGTCCCATTTCTCCAGGAAATCTGCAGTTTCCCCAGGATCTCCAGCTCCCCAATACACAGACCCTTGAATTCTGATTTTGACTTTCTGTCAACATTGTCACTGTGACCATACTTTTACCTACCTTCCTACCTGAACTAGTTAATGAAAAAAATAAAAAAAGAAAAAGAAATGGCTTTGGATGGGGACAACTCAGCAGAGCCTGTGAAGAAGTTACTAACAAGCTGTGCTCTGTTGAGCACTCAAGACAAGGAAGAACACAGACTCTCAGGCCAAATAAGAGCCAGGCTTCACCAGCACGGGTAACAAGGAACCCTACACAATTTCCCAATTTTCCCTTTTAACCATTATGGGAGGGACCCGGTAGGGAACACAAGCTTCCCCCTGCCCCCAGTATCCATGGGACGGCTTTTTCCCCCTTCTGCCTCCTGAACGTAGAACAGATCATAAGTGCCCTACCCGTACATGCTGTGTGGCACAGACAAGGCCACATAAACTCCCATGCTCTGAAACCTACCCAACTCATTTTTTCGTAGTCAGTGGAGGTTCCTTTGTCCCAAATTGTCAAAGGTAGCATGTCAAAGACATGCAACACCTATTGCCCCACTTCTGAAAACTTCCAGAAGGCGTTATCACTATGCTCTTCCCTCAAGCCAAAGCCTGCAAATTCCTAAGACACAGAGGATCCTGGCCAGGGGTGGAAGAGCTGGAATGACCCAGCTTAGGGAGGGGGACATGGGAAGAGTAGAGAAGAGGGAACATGCCCTCTCCATGGAAGGTAGGAGAAGAGTCCTGTGGGACTGTCCAGACAGGAACTAATCTGGGCTAGGGCTCACCCCAGTCTTTGCTCCCCTGTGTCTCTGTGGTCCAGAGCTATCCTCTACAAACCCAGGACAGAGGACAGCGTGCACATGGTCCAGCATGGAAAGTCTCCCAACAGCTTCCCAGTGGGGCTGATGGCCTTGAGTGCCTTCTCTTCTGCCTGGAGAAGCATCTTACAGGTTTCACTGCAGTTGTCCTACAGCACCACGGGGCTTGGTTCCAGGGCTCCCCTTGGATGCAAAGGATGCTAAAGTCTCTTGCATGAAGTGATGTGGTATTTACACAGAATCTGTGCATATCCTCTTGTGTACTTCAGATTATGTCTAGATTACTACCAATACCTAATGCAATGTAACTGCTATGTCAATCATAACGGTACGTGTCTGCTTAGGGATTAATGACAAGAACAAAGCACTTTGCACATGGTCAGTACAGGCCTGTTTTTTTTAAATAATAGTAGTCGGTTGGGTCCATGGATGCCAAACCAGTAGCTATGAAGGGCTGACTGGTACACACCCTTTCTAGTCTTTTAGTTTGCATCTCTCTTCTTTTTCTGGATTAAATATGCCAGAGATTTACTTTTTCCCCAAGCTCTCTTCTTGATTTGATTCTATCATTTCTATTTTCTAATGCATTAATTGCTACCTTTTGTGAACTACTTTATTTTAATTTTATTTAGTGTTGGCTTTGAAAATGTTCTAATGTATTGAGTTGAATGCAGGTTTAGCTTGTTTCCATTCTCACATGTCTGACTTTGAAAAACACCCCTGAATTTGCCTCTAAGTACAGCTTTAGCTAGTAGTTTTCCCAACTGTCTGCAACTGCAGTGCTAATATTTTTCTTCCTGACAAGTTTTTAAAAACATTTTCAAATGGATTAGATTTTTTAGGTTTATCAATCCTCCCCCACACCAGTCCCTGCTCTCAGATTTGGGGCATTTTGTTGAAGAATATTGCTGGAGCCATTTTTACCATAGAAAATTCACTGACATTTTCTTGATGACCTAAATACTTTTATAATCTTTAAGTATTCTATCATTGCACAAAAAGAAGACACCTCTTTCAGTAGGGAAAGGAAAAATATGACACAACTACTAATTTTGATTTATTCAAACAGTTTGTTTGTAATATTATATGTTCTTTTAGGTACATAAAGATTCCTAACTAGTGCCCTCCCTGTGGCAAGAGTGACAAGCTTTGAGGAAGCCAGGAGATTAGACTCCAGGTCTGCTTTCCTGGGATTCATCCTGCCACATGAGCCCTTCTTTGACTTGCATTTTACCTGTGACATGCAATTTCATATTAATTTTTGAGATTGAAATTCTGTCTTTGAGCAGAAGTGAATAACTTTTCACATAATTCCTATGTCTCATATATTTGATCTTATTCTAGGTGATTTTCCATGACATCTAGAATTTGGTTGTCTGAATGGGCAACCCAACTCCTGTTCACCTGGCTGTGCCACTGGATCATTAGGCTGCAGGGTCCTTCCCTGTGAAATGGGACCATCAATAGTGTGGACCTCCCCACCTGGCTGTGGACTGAGTTAATGTATGGGAAGCATAGCCCACTGGGTGCTTCCTCCCCATCTCTCTAGGCATGGCATTCTCTTTTCTTTCATTCCCAGGTCACTGTTCCTGGTGGCTTTCTGCTCAGGGCCCATGCATACATCCATGTTTGCTATTAGGAAGGGGGGATCTAAGTTCAACCATAGGAGGAGGTAGGTAGAGCGAGAGGCCCAGTTGGAGTAGAAGACAGGGGGCAAGAGGAGATGAAGGCATGGAATTTAGGCAAGATTAGGAGTTGAAGTGAGGGTATATGAACCAGAAATTTCTGATGCTTTGACATTTGGGGTATTGTTGCCCCTGGAGGAATTACCCATCCTGGGATTGGCCAATTCCTAGAGGAAGTAAACAACTTGTATGTCTTTCCTATAAAAACCAACCAATCTTGAGCCCATATCCCCAGTCACCACCTGTATTGAACTCTACACTCTGAACTGCTATGATATCCATCTGCCCTCATCACCCCAGGGCCAGGTACCAGGCAACTTGGTACAGTCTTTATGTCCCAGGGTCTGCTGAAATTCTTCAAACTGGCCACTCGTCAGCCTGCTTACCCTGCATCCCTGGTCTTACCTGCAGAGACCACGATAGAGGCTCTCCTTCAGTTCGCCCATCTCTCTGCCTCCTGCCTCCCACCTCCCTTATACTTTCCTGTGCGGCCCACCCAAGATGTGGCATGCCTCCACCTCTTGGGTTCTGTGAGTAACAACTATCTCTTGAATGGCAGTAGTCTTTTGAACTGTTGGACTCACCAGGCTGAATAATAATAAAACCTACATTTTAAACAAGGGGTTATGGTGAAAGGGCACAGAGACACAGAGCTGGCTCACTAGCTTCTCGTTTTGTACAGAACCACAGGGTGTCTGGGGAGAGGCAGGGTGGTTTGGGCAAATTACATTATCAAAGGAGGGTCATGTCTTGCCACAGACCCCATTCAGTCCAAGACAGTGGAGGCTCTGGAATGTTGGCAGGCAGGACCTGGCACACAGTGTTACTCACCTTCCCATAGTTCAGCAGGATAATCCTCACCAGGACAACGTTGATGTGGGCCCCCAAGGACTCGTCATGATAGATTTCGTTCACCTGAAAGACAAGCAGGGCTACATCAGCCAGAACCACAGATTCAAAACTCTGGCTTTGCATATGGAGTTGTGATCCAACTATCCACCCCTGCCCCGCCACTCCCAGAGGGAGCCCTGGGACCCCTGCCCAACTCCTTCCTCTTCCTACTAACTTGCCATCAGCTCAGAACCACTTTTTGATCCATCTCTCCACTTCCTGCCCCTACCCTTGCAACCATCACCACCTCCTGGATTTCTTGCACCTGCCTCTTGGGAGCCCCCACCTGCCAGCCCAGGGATTCTTCACCTTGAGCCTGACTCAGACCCAGAAACTGAACACCTAAATGTGCCATAGCCTCTCACTGAAACCTGGAATTTCCTTTAAGAATGAACATGGGCAACAAATGCCAGCAACATGAGCAGTGTGTGGACTGTCCCCGGCAATGTCACTCCACAGTTGGTGGTGGTTGTGAGACGTTATACATGGCTACAACTGGCCCTCTATAGCCACAGGTCCCACATCCATGGCTCAACCAACCTCAGATCAAAAGTTTTTGGGAAAAAAATGTTGCTGAACATATACAGACTTTCTTCTTGTTATATTTCCTAAACAATGCAGTGTTAACAACAACTTACAACATTTATATTGTATTCGGGTTCTAAGTGCTCTGCAGATGGTTAGAAGTATACAGGAGGGTGGTGTAGGTTATATGCAAACTACTGCATTTTACAGAAGGGACCTGAGCACCCAAGGGGGTTGTGGAGTCAACCCACAGCAGATACCGGAGGAGGACTGAACTTGGAAACGGGGATCATTGTGGACCCTCCGCCAGGTCTACTTTTTTAGCTTGTTAATAAAGAACAGCTACTACTCTATCACTTTCCTTGTTCTGTTTCAATAGCTGTAGGTCCTATCACTGGCTTCCTTTGTTTTTTAGCACTATTGTGTTTTTGTGTAATTTTTTACATTTACACATTATTCTGAGCACATGTCTGCTAGCTTCTCCAAATGTCCAGGGGGCCCAAGGCACAAAAAAGGGAATGAGTCCCCTGTATCCATGCACAGTCATCATGGTCTTCTAGAACACGGGTCAGGTTAATCCTGGGCTCGGAGCTTCCTTCCTACTGCTCCTCCACTCCATCTTCCTGCCACACAGTCAGGATCCTCTATGGAGCAATCCCCCACCCCCACCTCCCTCGATGACTGACTAACTCTTCCTCCTACAGGCCAGCCTGGAAGTCACCTCCTCCTGGAAGGTCTTCCAGGTCTGCCCTGCTTCTATGGAGCCCAGGTGGTCCAATACTTCTTGAGGCCTCTGTCCCAAGACTGTAAGCTTCACTATAGTCCTTGTATGCCCAGGCCCCAGGGCACAGCAGCACAGGACAAGCAAGCACCTGTTGAAAGAACAAATCCACTGGTGCTCTCATTGCGTGGACAGACAGGGGCCAGCCACGCCCTTCACTGTGTGCAGTCTGCACCCAGAAGTCGCTGCTCAGCCTTTTGTGTGGACTGATACGGCCAAGCAGCACCTCCCAGAGCCCACGACATCTCAGGCCAGTGCTGTACATGCTTTGCAACTGATTTTCAGAGTCTCCATGTGCCCAATTGTAATTGCTACCTCTGAACAGTAGGAAGCCATCTTGGGGAATCTGAGAGTTGGCAAGGAAAATCAAATCAGGATGGATGTGAACAAGAAGCACATAAGGCCTGGAGCCCAGTAGCCGTTGTCATCACTGCTGCGGATAAAGAGGGCACCAATTGGAGATAAGAGTTAACACACTCACTGGTCCCCAGCTGACACCACCCTCCAGCCCAGCAAGCAGCATCTCCAGGAACTTCCTGTGCAGCATGTCTACACAGGGGGCTCCTTCCCCCTTCACTTTCCTTTCTTGTAGGAAAGGGGTGACTAATCAGACCTACAACAGCATGGATCTGATGGTCATCACAACTTGGCTTGAGTCTCCTGCATCTGCCACCTAGGCAGGGTGAACACTGGGCCCCTGAAGACCATCTACCAAATACCCAGGTGTCCGACAGGGTGAAGCCCCAGAGAGGTCCTCCAAGTCCCCTGGGATGCTTTGCCAACTCGCCCATCACCTGCAGTCTTCTCTGTAAAATCAGGGGAACACTCCCATCTCAAGAAGCTCTTGTGAGGATTCCGTTCCCAACTTGCGATGGAATGGTGTTTGTGAAAACTGAAACTGTATCTTTTCATTACTGGTAAACCATAGTGCCCTGCCATGCCCAGGAGGTTCTGGGAGTGGGGTGCGGGGGGCACCCTTACACCACAGATGTTCCTGCTCAGCTTTGAGGATCCAACTAGATTTTTTTAGTTTAGGCTGAGACAACAGCCTTGAAAACCAGTTTTTGTTAAGAGCGAATGGAGTTTTTTTTTTTTACATTTGGAAAGTTTTGCTTTATCTATGCTAAGCAAAACCTGACCAACTGGGCTCACAGAGTTCCACTGAAAATCACGGGGTAGGAGCAACCAAGGCCATGGATGGCCCTGCTGCAGCTGGAAGGGGCAAGAAAGCTGGGAGAGAAAGGATGCTCTTCACCCTTCCACCCCACCAGTGTGGTCATGCCTCAAGTTGGGGTGGGGCAGGGAAATCATCAAGAAGGAAAGAAAAGCAGAGAGGTGACAGCACTGTGTCAATATGCGGTGGCTCCAGACGACGCAGGGTGAAGCTCATCTTTCCTCAGTGGTGAGGGAACCTGAGAAGGAGGTGCAGCAAACAGGTATGTGCAGATGCCAGAGGCCTCCTGTGTCCCAAGCACACACAAGCAGGGTAGCTGGGGGCCGACGTGTAAGTTTACCTGGAGTGTGGACACCATCGAGTCTCTAAGAGGGAGCCCAGGGGTGGTGGTCTGCAGAAGAGGAGGAGGGCCTGCTTGCATGGCCGCTGCAGAGAGGACAAACCCCACTTGCAGTCTCCAGGGCCTCTGCAAGGTAAGAGTGTGGTGGGACAGATATGTGCCAAGGCAGACCAGCCATGCCCTGGGGGAGGAGGGTCAGGGGACTGAATGGTGCCACCAGCCCGTTCATGTGTTGGAGTTCTAACTCCCCAATGTGATGGCAGTTGGAGATGGGGCTTTGGGAGAAGATTAGGGTTAGGCGAGGACATAAGGGTGGGGCCCTTGTGGTGGGATTAGTGCCCTTGTGGGAAGAGACACCAAACAGCTGGCTTCTCTCCCTCTCCCTTTCTCTTTCCCCTCCATATGAAGACATGGCAAATGACAAAGAAGGCCCTTCTTGGGAAAGCCAATTGGTTGGCAACCTTGATCTGGAATTCCCAGTTTCCAGAACTGCATGAAATAAACTGTTATTTAAGCTCCCCAGTCTGTGGTATGCTATTATTCCAGCCCGAGCAAACTTAAATCAATCCTGAGTCAGGGCTCACTATGGTTTGAGTCTAAAATGTCTTCCAAAGGCCCATGTGTTGAAGGCCTGGCCCCCAGTCTGTGGCACTGTTGGGAGGAGGTGGAACCTTTGGGAGGTGGGGCCTAGTAGGAGGAAGTTAGCCCATTAGGGGCAGGCTCTTAAAAGGGATAATGGGATTCTCAGTCCCTTCCTGTCTCTCTGCTTCCCAGCAGCCATTAGGTGAGCAGCTTTGCTCTACCACACACTCCTTGCCATGATGTACTGTGTGCCACAGGCCCAAAGCAATAGGGCCAAATGACCATGGACTGAAACCTCTGAAACCATGAGCCAAAATAAACCTTTCTTCCTTTTAAGTTGATTATCTCAGGTATTTTGTCACTGCAACAGAAATCTGAGTACCACTTAGCCTTGCCCTTACTGTTCCTCCAAAGGCTCTTGAATGGGGAGGGCCTGAGCTACCTCTCAGGGCCAGGTGACATTTTTCCTTCTATTCTAGGATTGGATTGGGTGACATGAGACCTAAGAACTGAAAAAAGTTGCTTTTTCCCCCCATCTTTGAGACTCAGTGTATAAATGTTGACCTGCCATGGTTGTGAACCCCCAGCACAGCAACAGGGTCCTCTTACGTCCACAGTGGGACGTCTCAAAGTGTGCCAGCCACACCCAGGCCTGGAATCCCACGGGTTCTCTGGCCTGGCTTCTTCTCCCTGGGCCAAAGGCAGGCCCAGACCCCACAGAGAGTGTCTGGCCTCATTGTTAATGCTTGGGATGCAACTAAACTAGCCTGGAACCAGCCCTCTTGTGTGGAGGTAGAGAGGGACCCATGGAAACAAAAATCCTGAGGGTTATGGTGAGCTCTCCACAATCCTGATTGTGCTGGTGAGGGTGTGGAAGGAAATGTGGGGAACCAGAGGGAGAGTGCATGTAGTCTGCCAGGTGGGAGTCGGTGTTGGGGAGGGTCTTCCCCTAAAGATATGGTGTGTCATGGGAGCTGAGAAATGGGAATGAGTTAGTTCAGCAAAACAGGGGTGGTGCTCCTGGCAGCGGGAGCAGTATGTGCAAATGGCCTGGGGTCAGAAGCAGTGAGGTGTGTTCCAAGTGTAGAGGGGATAGGATTGAGGGAGGGTTTCAGAAGGAGGTGGGAGAGGGGCACTGAGGTAGGACCACATATGTAAAGAGAAGGATGCTAACCCTGTTCAAATAGCAGTCAGGGGATATGGAACCTAGAGAGGGAGAACGACATTGCATTTTGCAGAATACTTTGGGTCCTTTATGGAAAGTGGATTACAGGGGTGGAGATGTGGGGATGTGGGGTTTAGATTCAGGGATGAGTGGAGAGGAGGGACAGACAGGAGGAGTGATGTGGACTGGAATGACCCCCCTCCTCTCCCACAGCCTTGGAGCACTCTGAGGTGGGTCTAACTCTGTTCCTTTTGGTGGAAAATGGAGACTGCCCATCCTTGTTCTATATGGAGCTGGGGGAGAGAGAAATGTCCTGAGGTTACCTCTCAGAGCATCCCCAGGACAATGCTACTCTGAAGCCCAGCTCTGCCTGCACTTAGGGCCTCCGGGGAAGGTAAGTGTGGGCCTGATCTGGGGTGGACCTCAAAGGGCCCCTGTCCCCCAGGTGATGCTCTGA